CGGGCCGGCCCTTCTTCCACTTGCATTTTTTACTTAATATATCATAGATATTTTTCCATCATCAGTAGATCAGATCTAACACAAGATTTCTCAAGCTTAGCACTATTGGCGTTTTGGGGCTGGACCATTCTCTGTTGTGGCGCTGTCCTGTGCACTATAGGATGTTCAGCAGCATCCCTGGCCTCATCTCGCTGGGTGCTAGTAGCACCCTCCTCCTCGAAGTTGTCTCCGGACGTTGCCAAATGTCCCCTGGAGAGCAAAATCACCCCCAGTTGAGACCCACTGGTCTAACAGGACCATTTCTGAGTGCTTGTCTCATGGTTTTGAACAGATTCAGGGACCGTGATGTGTGAAGAGGCAGAGAAGTGAAGGCAGTGGGGCCACCGGCTGGTCAGCCTGGCCTAAATCCAGCTCCACACCTGCTGGCTGGATGACTTTGGCAGGTGCTTCAACTCCCCTGAGACTCATCTGCAAAATAACACCTGTGAGCTAGTGAGTCCCAGACTCCATCCATTCCCACGCCTCGGGTCATGATGTTTGTTGCAACTGTGTCTGGCTGTCCTATTATGTACTTAATATGTTTCTTTCAATGATTCTCTTTATAAATTCGTTTCATCCTAAGGAATAATATCTGTGATACCATAGGTATGATGTACTGGTTATATTTTTTTCATACACATGAAAGAAAAAATAGAGAGAGCCAACAAAAAATTCTGTGAGAGCTTGCCATGCACCCCCACAGTCATCTTGGGATATGCATACCCAATTTGGGGAAATAAAGCCCTCGAGGATCGCTAGAGGATTAAAGGAGATAATAGGTGTAAAATGCCAAGCACAGCACTGGAGTCCATGGAATTCAAGCTGGTTCTCTTCCCCAGTTCTGACTTGTTGAATAGCGTGAGCGCCTGCTTGATGAACTACGTATGCACGTGGAATCACATTCCTATAACACACACTAGAGGGACTTCTTAGAAAAAGAGATTTTCAAGCCTTGCTTATGTATGCACTTGCTATTCTTGGATTATTTCCTGCACACGCTGTATTTTCCCAAGGGAGGCCATGAGCTGAGTCCCCCTCCACCCCGACCCCAGTCCACTCCACAGGTGACACAGACAGAAATTCTCACCTACATGTTGAGCCTGAGAACCCTTCCTACAAGCATCTAAGATGCCCAATCCATAGATCTTTGGAAGAACACAGAGAGATCACTAAATCCAGTCCTTTCCTTTTACAGATGAGCAAACTGATATAGAGGAAGGAGGAGGCGCTTGCGAAAACGAGGGCAGAGAGTGACCAGGTGTCCCACGTCCTCATGAACCCGGCTCTCTGATCTCCCCCATATCTGGGCCTGGGAAGTTATGTGAACTGGCCCCCGTTGGTC